CCCACCCCGGGCCCCCGGGCTGGGCCATCGCCGGCGAGGAAGCAGGAGCAGCACCCACGCAGCTCCGGGTGCCGAGGTCCGGCCCCAGCCCGCCCCAGGGCGACGTGCCCCGGGGGGTTGTGCGGCACCCCAGCGCCAGGAGGGCAGCGCCAGGCCGGGCTCCCCCCATCCCCACCCAGGTCCCCTCTTGCAGGGAGCTCACCCGGTGGTGCCACTGTGCGGTTTTGCAGCCTGTGCCGCGCGTTAGGGTGAGCCGGGGCTGCCCAGCAGGAGCCTCCGCGCTCCCGGGACTCGGCCACTTCCCCAGCAGGAGAGGGCCGTGCCCCACTCCCAGCCCTGCGAGGGAAAAACCTCTCCCCTGGTGGCAACAGGGCAGCTGCGCCCACCTGACGGCAGGGGCCGCGGCAGGACTCGGGAGCGGACAACACACGGCTCTGCTAGATGCGTCACAGCGCCTGGCCGCTTTCACCCCCAGGGCGCCGCTCGAGCTGGACACCTGCCGGTTCCCACCTGTTCAAGGCTTGCTGCCATTTGCAGAACTTCAAAAGGGAAACGCAGCTCTGGGCTTCCTCGAGAAACATTTCAAACGAGCGCCTGGTGCCAGAGGACCTGCGTGGGACTGCTCCCAGGGGTCACGCTACGCACAGCAACCTCTGCTGCGCTGGGAAGAGCCGCGCACTTAGCGCAAAGCAGTTGGATGTCTGCTCTAAGAGCAGAACTGAGCAGGAACGTTCCTCCAAGGAACGCCACCATCACCAAACACCACCAGATGACAGGCAGGAGGGGTTCAGAGGTTTAATTGGGTTCTTCCAGTTGTGCAAGGTACAAAGGACAACCAAAAGGGAGGACGTGGGCAATGACAAGGACCCTATTAAAAAAAATAGTCATGTATATTTGAGAAAAATAAAAATTCAAGATTAACCCCAGCCCCGTACCATAAAAATCTTCTGCATGTACAATGACTATTACTATATACATGTTTAAAAATAAAAGCCCATAGCCTGAAGTGCGAATAGCAGCACTACAGCTGTGCTTTGTGGCAGGGGAACCCATAAAGTGTTTGTTTTTAAAATTAAAACATAAATAGAAGCACTCGACATGCCAACAACCAAGTGGGTTACATCCTCCTCTGCACACCAGTTCAGAGTGAGCAGGACCAGCCCCTACCAGTTACAGCTAAAAACCTTCATGCGTCCGAATTCACAGTCCGCCAGCCGAGAGGGGCAGTCGGGGTTTGGCACCTCGCTGCCACGGCTGCTACATCCCATTCTTCACCAGCTCGTGGATCCCGTTCTCGTCGATAATTAAAGGTGCACGAAACTCTCGGTCCTTCACGTACTTTTCCAGGCCCTAACAGAGCAAGAAGTGGCTTGTGAGGAACCCGAACGCTGCTCGTCTGCGGTCAGAGGGCACCGGCTGGGTCAACACAAGGGAGCTAGCGTACAGCCCAGACCGCCAAACGGCTTCACTCTCGGGGTCCCCTCTCATGCAGGGGTGTCACCTGCAACAGACAGCTCACAGCGCTGCTGCCCTACAGCTACTCCTCCTCCTGTTAACTAAGTCAGCTCTTCCAAGCTGCTACGAGAGCCCAGCCACACGCAGGGCTCCGTGCTGCAGCAAAGTCCAGCAATAATATCGGCCAGCGCCGGGCCGACTGCACCAGGCTCCCTGTCCAGCCTTTCTAAGGCAGAAAGGCAACAGCTGAAGGGGTGGCATTTCTTGGAGAGCAAATCAGCAGCCCGTGTCACCTGCACCTACTGAACCAGTCACAGACAGGCTCCAGTCTCAAGGGAAGAAACCACTCCCGAGTTGGGGGCTCGGGGGACACCAGCCCAACTCTGGTGCGGGAAACTTCACAGTGAATTCGAGTCACACTTTTGCCACAAACCCTCCTCCCTTCCCAGGGATCATGGGGCCTCCAAATGGAGGGTTGCGCTAGCACGTGCACCCTGTGAGCCTCGCACAGGGTTGGCTAATCTGTAAACGCGCTTGAGCTCTGGAGAGTGAATACTTACTTCTCCTCCATAGGAGATGAGGGGAGAAATTTCACACTGGATTGGCAAGTCACTTGCATCCTTCAAACTGCAAAGAAGTAGTCATAAACATTAGTCACTTCCTGCCAGGGTAAATGGACCAGGGCCCAGAAATCTTGCACATACCAGCACACACTGGGTCAGCAGCTGGCGGGTGTGTGCTGGGCACTGGTGGCTGCCAGCCCACGCAGACCCCGCCAACGCAGAGCTCCCCCAGGTTAGTCAAGCCTCGCACGCTCTCCATGTAGGTGCTAGCTAAAGTTTAGCTAATGGCAGTAGCTGGCAGGAGGGAAAGGGTTTTAGATGCAACTGTAACAAGGATCCGTGTTCCCTTCCACCTGTCAAACTACAGCAGTGTCTAGGCCTCTGGTCTGGACCACAGTCCCACTGCATTTGAGGCTGCTTGCAAGCTAATCAGCCCTTCCTCCTCCTGCACCCCCTGTGACACAAGAGAGGTGCACTCAAGTGTGCCCCCAAAGCACCTTTCTGCTTGGCTGGTCACAGCAGGCTTTTTTCATGGGCTTCTCATTTTAAAGCACAGGTTTAGGAAAGACGGTAAGCATATCTGCTGGGGCTTGCTACTTGCTCAGAAATCTCCTCGCAGTAGTCTGCTTCTCCCACCTTCGCTTCTTAGGTCAACTGGCTTTCAGGTCCTCAGTTCACAAGTTCTAGCTGGATGCAAGTCTGAGCTGGGATAAAAACCATGGACCCATGCCAGGGCTGCCTGTTGCTGGGGCTGGGGAGCAGCTACACTGCCGGGAAGGGTCTGCACAGGGTCCCCGACTCCATCATGCTGCTATCAAGCCTTTGTAATGCCCCCTAAACGCTCCCCCCATCCAGCCGGCGTGCAAGACTCACCGAGCAGGAGCTGTCGGACTAAGCCCGCACAGCTCCAAGCACAGCAGAGCCTACAGGCAACCACTGCAGTACCCCAGGGCTCCCCTTGGCATCGCAGCTGGAAAGGCATTGCAGGAAGTCGTCTGCGACAACGCTCATTTCCCTCAAGTCCAAGCTTGTCCTTGCTGCCATGTGTTAGGTCAAGCTCTCTGCCAGTCTAAGCTGTGCGTAAATGCAACAACTGAACTCACCTATTCTAATCTAGTTTTTGCACTTGTATTTTCCTTAGTCTGATTCATTTTAAGATAATTGCAAGAAACGAGTTGCCATTAAGCGCAACCTTTATCCAACATAATGACAGCCTATCTATACATGTGAAAGCATTCAAAGCTGCATTAAAAGTTAAGGATCTAAGCGCATGCATCGAAAAGTAGAAGATATGACTTCTCCTCTTGAAAGTGGCATCCAGGGGATTGGAAGATAACAAGCTTTCTTATTCTCCAGCCCACTGACACTTCTCAGCTTTTAAGTCCCAGAAGCCCAGGCGATGTTCCCTATGTCTATAGGAGAATGTACTACAGAAGTCACATAAAAAGTAGCTGATGGCCTAACATGAAGCATTACACATGCTATGTCAAAGCCTGCTTGACATTTACATAATGATTTTATCCAATTTCAGGAACCAATCTTTCTGGATGGCTGGCAGCCACTGGGAGACAGCAGCTGTTTCCAGCTAAGGGACTGGGTGAGATTAGTACAAGCAGTGCTACTCTGGCAGTGGCGTGATGAACACAGGATTGTGATGACTACTGAAGCCGGGAAGGAGGGAAACTCCAGTGTATTTCACAACAGCATCCTGCCTTCAAGGTGACTTTTGGGAGCTGTTTCCAATAAGCAACAGGCTGTCTGCCATCCTGCATGCTCTGGGCGGGAGGAGACGTCACCACATCCCGACTCCCCCAGGGTCTGCCAAGACCAGCAGAGCACACCCACATCCCCAGTGGGCTCTGCCACGGGAGGTCAGGGAGGGGGTGGCCAGTCCTCCAACCCATGGCACCTCTAAGTAACCCAGTTCAGTCAAGCTCTAGCCAGACTACATTACATACAGATCAAACAATTAAGTGAGCTGCAAAACTCTTGCCAGATTCTTGCAAGCATTAGTGAGCCCAGCAGGGCAAAAATATCATCTTCTACTCCAAGTCCCACAAGCTTGAAGACCCTAGATCCTGCCGACCCTGCAGGAGGCTGTACCTAACCACACATGCTACACAGCAGATCCTTGCTGTGCCTAGTCATTTGGAAATACTCTGCCCAGAAGCGTAACGTGTGGGACAGGACAGCCCTGACTCTAGAGACAGAAGCTCTAACCCCAGCAGGCCCAACGCTGGGCCTCTGGTGGGTGAGAGGTGGTTGTGGCAGGACACCGTGTGGGAGGAGCCATAACCATGACCCTGCCTGCCACACACGGACACGACAGCTCCCCGCCTGGCCCTCCTGACGTCTCCTTTAGCTCTGAGTTCTCTCATGTCACCGTCTGAGACAAGCAGAGGGAGCACAGCTAGAGCTAGGCCAGCTACAGCCTCTCCCACCCCAACGTATCAGCACGAAACCCCTGAAGTTATTACTGCATGGTACCTCCGAGCCTCTGCAGAAAGGAGTGCCAGGAATTAGCAGATGCTACCGTGAAAAGCAACATCTACAGGATCCTTTAGTAAGACATGCCCCGCTCCCAGCATGCACCCTGGAGCCCATCCGTCCTGTTAGCGACTACCAGAGCCCAGTCACCAGCACGCTCCCGCCACAGCCTGCGCAGCAACCGCGACCTGGTGCAGCGGTTCGCCCAACCCATTAGTACCTAAGCACAGCCCCGCCACCATGCACTGCAGCCCAGCTACACTGTATAATTACTTGTCATTGACATCAGCTGGGATGGCATCTGACCTTCCGTTTGTGACACTATGCAGGAATAAACAAGTGTTAATAAGGATGGGGAAAAAAAGAGCAGAAGAACAAGTCTGGGGTATGCTATTCTCCAGCCCTTCCCTCGCTGCTTCAGAGGCAGCAGAAAGTCTCTCAGTTGAGGGAACCCAGCCCGGCTGCTGCACAAGTCTGGTAGCGTGTGTGGGTTTTAGGAAGCCATCTCCTCCAAGCTTGACTGTGCAACAGAGATCTGCAGGATTCAGTCCACAGGGGTCGAAACAAGAAAGAAAACTTCTGCTGACTTAGAGAGAGCACATTCTTCCAGCCACAGCATAGGCTGCCCATGAGAAGGGGCCCCCGGCTAGCAGCTTTAGGCAATGCTGGAACATGGCTTTAGGAGTGTGGTACTGGGGAAGGGCTGGGGACTGTCTACCATTTTAAACCCAGCCCAAACACAATACACGAGGTTCTCCTGCCCAGGGGAGAGCTCCTCACCTTGCTCACCCTGACCAGGAGGGCAGGACCCAAGCCAGCAACCATAACCTGTAGGAAGGCAAACGGCTGCACGGGGTAGTAACAGGATCAGTTGCTTACCAAGGGATGGCGGGGATGCGTGTGCCGTTTTCATCCACAAAATGCCCTCCCGCATTGAGAACCCAGCGGTGATGCAGAGACATCAAGGCATGCCGGGCTGTGGTGGGATTGTCCTTCCCGTTCTGGCTGTCTGCATTCTTCAAAGGAGAGAACTCGTCCTCACGCAGGACTTCGTACACCACAAACTTCCTGCCAGGGAGAGAAAAGGGCATGGGAAAAGGGCATTTCAGGTTTGGAAAACGTGCCTGCTCCCTTTTGCTTTGGCTTCTCCACTACTAGGCTAGAGGAGTCAGGGCCACAGACATCCTGCAACCTGTACCCACCAGCTGTCCTCACAACCACAAAGGAGCTAAGAGGACCCAGATGTGCGCAGCGGAGACCGGCACGTGGCCCGACTGAACAGGGCACAGAGACCATGACATGCAAGCACAGCATGTGCGGGCTGAGCTCTCTGGAGCACAGTTCAAACAGCCCCATTGCTCAACTTGTCCAGCTTCCAGGAGAGGGCACCACAAGTGCGCAGAGGAGCTGTAGGGTCAGGAGATACCAGGCTACTGCACCTCTGGTCCAGGAGCTTGGCCAAAAAGCAAGGAGCGACTGAAGCTCTGAAGCTCGACTGAGCAAGAGGCTCCTGTTGCTCATATCCGCGCTCGCATCAGGACACATTATCCGCTGCTGCTGAACAGCGTGGGGGCTTCCACCCCATCCTAACCCCAGCCCCCCTCAACCCTGGAGAGTCTCAGAGCTCCCAAGGGAGAGCCAGCAGCCTGCTCACTTCAGACCTACTTGGAAAACTGGAAGATGTCAAAAACGAACTTCTCCATCTTGATCCCATTGGGCTTCTCGGGTTGGATCAGCTGCCCAGTAGCGATGTCCACATGTGGGATCTTCTTCTCGGCTACATGGTGCTGCAGCTGCGGTTCGTAAGTGCTGCAAAGCCAAGAAAGAGCTGTCACTCACAAAGCCAAGGCGGCACTTCTCCAGCTCGAAGACAGCCACTGCATTAGAAAGGCAGCTCTGCCCCTGACACCCAGCCACTCCAAAGACACGCGTTTCTCATCCCTGCAGCAGCCAGACTACAGATGACCCTGCATAGCTCTGTTCTGGCAAGGGGAAGCCAGCAACGGATGGGGGAAATCTCATCTTGAGGAAGGGAGCGTGCACAGAGATGGGGGTCAGGTCACGGGTGCAGCTGCAAGGGCAGGGGACAGACATTAGACACAGAACAGAGCACGCGGGCCTCATCCCAGCACGCACATCCTACAAACAGCTGGAGTTTAAGCAACAGACAGCAAGGCACAGACAGCCAGAGAGCGAGCTCTGCTTCAGCGTCATCGCTCCTTCTCAAGTGTGCGAGCAGCCGACTGCTCCCAGCACGCCCGTACTTGACTACATCTTTCAGGAAGGATGTGGTGAAGTAGTGATTGGCAATGTTGCCCGCATTGAAGAGCAGCCGTCCATCCGGGCCCCGTTTCTGTGCAGTAGCCAGGGAGATCTCGCTATACTCCACCACCTGGTACACACCGTCCACTCTACACACCACACCAACCGGCTCCGTAGGGTTGGTCTTCTCTACCACCTGCCCAAGGGAAACACAATCAATAAAAGGCAGTTATTTGGCTGTCTCCAAAGCTCCATGCTTCAAATGCATCCTTTTCCATCTAGCAGCTGCAGACATTTTCCTATGCAAGGAAGCAGGGTGAGGGGAGAGATACAGATGCTGGAGCCCTCCCCCCCCTCCCTTCTACTTCTAGCAACGGCGACCAGAGGTGGTAAGACACCAGGACTGGGGGACAGGCATCAGGCACGCTCAGAAGGTGCAGGCACAATCTGACACCAAGCCCTCATGTGGCAGATAGAAGGCATGGATATTTTTAGCATTCAGCACACAGGGGAACAGTCAGCTTGCTGCACACCACTAGCGGGTGGCTGCTGTCTCAGCAGAACTGTCACCCACAAGACTCCTTTCTTTCGTTACCTGATTGTGTGCTAGCAGCCCACAAGCAGTCTGTGGAGAGTCTCCACCCTCCTCTTCCTTGCACCTGACAGACCACCCCCCCCACCCCGTGGCTGGGGCACCCTGCACTGCCAATTCCTGCCAGTCCAGCTGAGAATCACTCTGCCATCGTAAGACAGTGCTCAGGGAGACTGGGCTTTCTGTTCTTAATTTAATAGCTTATTTCCCCCTTCTTTCACTTGGGTCAGAAGGAGAAACTACTTTCCCTTTCCCCAGCTTGCACAAGGAGAGCTTCAAGGCCAGCAAGCCCTATCACCTGTTTATCAGAGCTCTTCCCCAGCCCAGGCTCTAAGCCAAGCCCAGCCCAGTGCAAACATAGGTACACAGCCCCTTTCACTGTTGATCTAAATCTGATGAAAAGCTTTGGGTGTGCAAAGTACACGCAAGACTACGGGCTTAGTGCAGTGTCAGAAGTCAGCTGCACCTACTGCACCTTGGTCAGATGCCCACGATGTCACAGGTGGGGGCATCTAGCAGGCTGCAGAAGAGTCCCTGGGCACAAAGACTTCCCAGAGCTGCTCTGACAACAGCTACCCACTGTTCCCCACGTTCAGGTGGGAACCAAGCAGACCAAGGCTCCCCAGCAGCTCTTGGCCCTGGAGACCAGATAAGCTGTCAGCCCTGAGACTGTGCCAGCAGCATGTGTCTTTGAAGGGCATGAAAGGAGCAGCACACAGCATCTCCGGGGCTCTGACCAGCTCAGTGCCTGCAGGCACGAGAGCCAGGTCTTGCCAGCAACATCTTTGGTGGCCAGGCACAGGCAGGCAGCACATGAGGCAAAGCCAGAACCAGATCTAATGGGCTGGTGGGACTCCAGAAGCACTTGCTATTTAAGGAGTGAGCACCCAGTGCTTAGCTCTTCCTTCCTTTTGACTGCAGCAGACTGGCAAGGGAAGGGCCAGGGAAGCTGGGCCAAACAGCAGGACAGATCCCCCTTGGTACAAACAGGCCACACGGCAGCTTGGTGTGGAGCCGCTCCCCAAGGAAAGCTGCCTGCCTGCCTCCACGAACAATACCTTGGCACCGCAGTCTGCTCCCTTCTCCAAGCAGAACCCAATGAACGTGGGGTCAGCCACTTTCACCAGGATGTTGTCCACGCAGTACACATGGACGCTCTGCACGCCTCTCCGCTCCATGTCGTCCACGATGCCATGCACACCCAGGGCCCGGTACAGGCCCCCATTGCCGTCTGGGGAGGAAAGAGAGCATCAGAGCCACAGCAATGCCCAGCTGTCCCGCTCACTCACCCATACCCACGTTCCTCCTCTGCAGAGCTAGGACACCGGGAAGCGGGCTCAGTGCATCCAGTGATGTTGTACCCCACTCCTCCCTGCTGTGTAAGGCACCTCCCAGCCTGCATCACCCAAGCACCAACCACAGCATGAGAAATTGCCCTAAGCAGTCTCAGGCACCCCAGTCCCCCTGGAGGGGACTGAGCTTGCAGATATGTCAGAAAATTAAGCTAGTAAAAAAACGGCTGCTTGCTGAGCTGGGGATAAAAGCTGCAGGGAGCCAACGGGGCAAGGCAGTGAGGTGTCATCTCAGCAGCTGTGAGCTGAGAGATCAGCTCAGCTGACTCTCATACAGTCACGCTCAGTGCTGCACCCAAAGGCATCTCACCCCCACGCGTCTCTAATAACAGCTCTTGGTCACAGACCTGGTGCCATGGAAATCTTGCCCTTTTCTTCCAGGAGGATTTTCCCATCAAACCCCATAGCAGGCAACATCCCCTGCTGGAAGAAGATCACGTTTTCTTTCTGTAAGCCAAAATACCGGTGCTTCAGGAAGAATTCCTTGGTGGACTCCATAGTCCGGCCGCTTGTCATGATGTACCTGCCACAGCACAGAAAAGCCGCAATCAGCAGGGAGGCCAGGGGAGAGTCCAATGCCCCCTGCCTCAAGCATGCCAAACTGCTTCAGCCCACCCCATAGAGGGCACTCCTCCCTCTCTGCCCAAAATCCTTTGAAGGAAGGTGACCCTCATCCGACCCATCTCTTTGGCAGCCAAGAGAAGGGCCCCACCCCTGTGCGCAACATGCATCTCCAGCCTACCCAACCTTGTGCAGCAGGCGGGACGCCCAGCTGCAGCAGGCGGCTCCCTTCGTGACGCAGACTGCCCAAACGCCCACTCGTGGCTACGGTGGGGTCCCTGGACCAGTGCTCCCCCTCACCTCCCAGCTCCCTACCCTCTCCGCTGGCCTCTGCAACAAGCTGGGCACAGGCAACGCGAGCTGCGCTCCTGAGAGTTGCTGGGGCTAAACCTGCCAACTCCGGGGGCTTTGATGGGGCCTCCGAAGGCACGACCCAATGACGCCACTCTGGGTCTTGACATCAACGTCGACAGGGGTCGTACCAAAGGGGTCTCCACCAAGCCCACGGGGCCTCGACCTTCCCATGTCAACGGGGTCCGCGCCAACAG